GATTCAAAGTTCAGAACTCGTCGTAGCAAGTTTTACGGCCACGAAGGTCACACTTACCACCGACTAAAGGAAACTGAGGCGGCGACATGCCTGCCTGAGTCACAGCATCGCCGGCCGACGAAGACGACAGCGAGCTCTGAGTCGCAACGACAACGGGCTTGATGGGTCGAGAGACGGTCTTCTTCTTGGGCGTCATTGATGTCGCTTGATGAGGAAGATGAACAGTATTGCCAAAGACAAGAACAAAATTCTTCGTTGAACAACTCGGGGAAGAATGAAGAAGAGTCGAATGACTCTTGATTTGACCCTAGCGGTCTATTTATAGACAGCTGTGAGCTGTTAAATCGGGACGAAATTCTAGGCTAGAATCTCGCCCAAACGCGACCTTTGCGTTCGAGTTGGTTGAACTTCCGAAAGCAGAGTTCACCCCTACGTTTCAATTCTCAAGCACAGAGTTCACTTATGCGTTTTAAACGTCACAAAAGGAACAACTCGACGACCAAAGATATGACATAGCTTCAAATAATTTCCCTTGAGAAACATGTATTGCCTCGAGCCTATTCATTGACCGAGCCATGCTCAAATAATGTTGCTGAGTACAACGCATTAATAATTGGACTTAATTTCGCCAAAGAGCTGGGGGTCGAATACCTTGAGGCTTTTGGTGATTCTCAACTGATAGTCAATCAGATACGATGAGAGTACGAGGTCAGAAATCAAGATCTGATTCCATACTACCAGGCGGCCGTTGAAATAGCAAACCCGTTTGAAGAATTTTTCATCGATTACATTCCACATCTCCAAAACGCATATGCAGATGCATTGACGGTATTATCTGTATCTTTGGCACAGCCTTCCGAGACAGAACAATTAGTCACAGTGAGAACTCACTAGCTTATCGTGCCAATTTACGATTCGATTGTCAAAGAGGCACATTCAACGAGAATCGAACTCAAAGCTCGAGATTGACGTTTTCCTATCATCGATTACGTCCTACACGATATTTTATCTGAGGATGTAAAAGAAAAGGATTCAGTCCGGCGAAGGGCGCTAAGATTTTACTATAACGCCACGACACCAATATTGTATCGTCGTTCATATGATGGTTTATTACTCCGTTGTCTATCTAATAGAAAAGTGGAAGAGGCACTCAAAGAAGCGCACGATGGAACATGTGGTGCGCACCAACCCGGTCTCAAACTCTGTGATCGACTTAGAAGAATGAGATATTACTGGCCAACCATGGTCAAGGACGCGGTTGACTACGCCCGACGGTGTCATGCGTGTCAAATACATGCAAATTATATGCACCAGCCTCCAGAGTATTTGCACCCATCAGCGACATCATGACCGTTCAAGACATGGGGAATGGACATTGTTGGTCCTACTTTTCCACCGTCAGTCAAAGGTGATCGTTTTATTTTAGCGATTACTGTTTACTTCTCCAAGTGGGTCGAAACTATTCCACTTAAAGAAGTAAAAACGAGCGATGTTGTCAAGTTTATCAAACACCATATCATATACCGATATGGTGTCCCGAGATAAATAGTACATGATAATAGCCTTCAATTCATCAGCAATGCGTTCATTAAATTCTGTGGTAAATTCAGAATTCAGGACGTTTCGTCAACGGCATATAACCCCACAGCTAATGGATTACCTGAAGCTTTCAATAAAATAATTATCAAGATTTTGTTAAAACTTGTAAGAGTCAACAAGCGAGACTGGAACAACAAACTTGGTGAATCTCTGTAGGTCTATCGTACCACTGTCCGCACGCCAACTGGAGCGACTCCATATTCCTTAGTATATGGATGTGAAGATGTCATTCCTTTGGAAATACAAATCCCTTCTCTTCTCATCGCTCTTGCAACGGGAATGACGACAGAAGAACAACATCAAAAACGACTCAAAGAGTTGGAAATGTTAGATGAAAAACGCTTGGAAGCTCAGCAAGAAATCAAGTTTTATCAGGCCAGGATTTCCCGGGCTTTTGATAAAAGAGTCCGACAACGAAGCTTCAAGGAAGGAGACCTAGTTCTTGCTGTTCAGCGACCCATGATTCTCAATTCCAAGTGTAGGCGTATAAAATTGCTTATAGGTCCCTTAGCATAGCTCGGCACAAACCGACGAACCGACGAGGCGACAAGGTTGACGAATCGCACGCAAGCAACGGAATACATCCATTCGCGTGTGGAATCAAGCCAAGTGTTGAAGAGTCAACGAGTCATCCAACCAAGGGCAGACTCGGACGAATCACGATCGAATCAAGATCAGTTTCGGACTCGAACTCAGAAGTGGATTTACTGCCAAATCAGGAATCGGATTTACTGCCAAATCAGATCAACCGAGCCACCTCAGGGTGGCTCGGCATGAGCCGAGCCACCCAGGGGTGGCCGGCCACTTGTGGCCGAGCCACCTCAGCCCAGATCTGTGCCTAGGCACAGATCTGGGTGCCTATAAATAGGCCAAGGGTGGGCCCAGAGCCGAGCCACCCTGAGGTCCTCAGCCCAGATCTGTGCCTAGGCACAGATCTGGGTGCCTATAAATAGGCCAATGGTGGTTCATTTTGAGAGGTTGGAACTTTGAGAGCCGAAACTCTGCCGAATTGAAGATTGAGCTTGGAGTTTTGAAGACTTGAGGACTTGAACATTCAGATCTGGTTCCCGGCGAGCATCCACGTCACAAAAGGCAGGAGTTCGAGAGGAAAAGAGATCAGATCTGAGATCTACACGAGATCATACTCCGGATCAAAGCTTGGTCTTTGATCCCGAGATTTGAGCGATTATTTCCTTGGTGAACTAATCCCTCCCGGCTATTATTTCCTTCGTGAAATAATACCCGTCAAATCGTGTAGATCCGACCGGACCTAGATCGCGCAGTGGTCCACGGATTAACCCCGGCGTTGGCAAAGAACCCACACAAGCGAGCGACCGCAAAACAGGAGCTCGTGATTCGTTCGGAAGGAAAGTTGTAATCTTTTTCTTTTTTTTCTTTGATTTCGTTGTAACCGGATCTAAAAAAGACCGGATCTTTTGTAACCAAAAAAGCAATTACTTGAGATAACAATGAATTCAATGAAGAAAACGATTTTTCCCGCGAACACCAAGAAGAAAGAAAAATTTCAACCCAAATGGAAAGGTCCGTTTGTAATAGATACAGTCTATTCAAACGGTGCATATCGCCTGATCACCCAAGATGGCCACAAAATCATGATGCCAATAAATGAGAAGTTCCTGAAGAAGTATTACCCTTAGTACGTTCAGGATAACCTATTTAAATGAGAAGTTCCTAGAGAACACTGTACATGATATTTTAAGGATAACCCGAGATCAGTCAATTATTACAGATAGAAACTAATCCTCTAAATAATTCATTCTTAATTATTATAAAAATAGTTAAGAACCTCCCATTATGGTTATCTAATTATATCCAAAATGATTAAGAATCTCCCACTGTGACTTTCCAAGATATGAGGTTCAACGAATGCATATAGTCGATCTTTCCTTACGAAACTCTCATGGTGCAATTGTGGAGTGCTCGATGATTCACAACCCTTCACCACAAAATCCTTCACCGATCAAATTAATTAACGGTGGCTCCACCAAAGTCCTTCATGGATTAAAATCCTTCAAACTCCCAATGTATCTAGTCTTTAACACTCACACTGTTGAAGTAATGATACATCATTCAAAAGTTCAATATGTTGATCCATAGTAATCAGTGAAACCCTTCATGTTAGGTCCTTATTACTTGACATCGAAAACCCCATTGAGTGATATGTACAAGTCAACATCCCTATTGTTATTTGTACCCCACTCCTACTTCTTATTTGGTCAAACCTTCCTATAGTTAGGACCAAAGCCAAAATCCCTTCTCGATTCCTTTCATGAACGAGAGGTCCATTTTTAGATCCGGAACTTCCTTTCAATAAACGAAAGGCTTTCATAAATTCCTCTTTAGTCGAATGTCTACAGCTTTGACTGAAGTCGGAATTTCATTTCGATGAACGACAAATTCATCTTCAATCTGGATAACCAATGCTATAAAAGTTAGAGCTATCCAGATCTTTTCGATTCTCAGAGTGAAGATCTCACTCTTAGTTTCACCTTTCAGGATTTTTAAAGTGGAGATCCCACTTTGAGTTTCTCTTGAGCCAGGAGATAGAATATAAAATTCTTCCTCTTCGATTTTGGGTTTATCTCCACCAACAAAAAAGAGACCAGGAGATAGAATATAAAATTCATCTTCTCCGATTTTAGGTTTATCTCTACCAACAAAAAAAAAAGACCAGGAGATAGAATATAAAATTCTTCCTCTCCAATTTTGGGTTTATCTCTACCAACAAAAAAGAGATCAGGAGATAGAATATAAAATTCTTCCTCTCTAATTTTGGGTTCTTCTCTACCAAAAAAAAGATCAGGAGATAGAATATAAAATTCTTCCTCTCCAATTTCGGGTTCATCTTTTTACCAAGAAGAAATAACCCACCAACACCTCTAAATCAATGCCTTTTATGCTTGGGAGATGTTATCTCGATCCCTTATTAGAGATAAGTCTACGTCTAACACACGTTGCCGGGTGGTACGTTTCCGTAAAAACGATCAAGCATACGTATTCAATATCGTAGCCAGCGATTATTATTAAGTTAATAACCTCTGAATCCATGCCTTTTATGCATGGGGGACGTTATCTCGATCCCTAATTAGAGATAAGTCTACATCTAACACATGTAGCCTACATATTCAACATGGTAGTATAAAACCTAAGAGAGTTTAATTCTTTTAATCCAACGTTATATGTGAAACGGATCTAGATAATTCACATAGTAGCCCGACTCAAACAGTAGTCGGTAAAGACACATCAAATCTGTTGATGACTAAGGGTTTGCCAAAAATCTTATGAGTATTATATTTATTTATTCCAAACAAGAATGGGTAATCATAATAAAATTTCAATAAGCAAAAGAGTTCACTTTATTCATAAAGAAAACTTGAAAATAAATGTAAAAAGAGGTTCCAATACAAGAAAAGTGTCATTACAAGAGAAATGTTCTTAATCTAAACATAACTTGTAATTACAGATTTTTCCTTTAAGTTTTGAGAGTGCCTCTGCATAAGCTTGTTCAAATTCAGCTTTTAAATTAGCTCGTAAGAATTCCGCGCTGGTGTTCTGAGCTTGGAGAACTTCTTGTTCTGTCTCGATAAGCTTTTTATCTTGAAGCTCCAGCTGTCTGAATAAGTCTGTTTCAACATGTTCAGCTTCAGTCAAATCAAGCTCCAAGATACCCTCAGCATCTTTGGCCTCTGCAAGCTCTTTTTCCAAGTGGGCTATATGAGCTCGACGTAATTCTAAAGATTCGAGTAAATCGGCCTTAGCCTGTACCTTCTTGGCAATACCTAATCTCATCTGGGTTACACGGTCTCTTAACTTTTGAAGTTCGAGCTCGGCCGATTTTTGTGAATCATGCCATGCTTGTAGCCTTAGATCTAGTTGGACCGATACATAAGAAGAAGCGCCGCTATTCTGAAGATTCTTTAAGTTTTCGACCTGCTGCTTCAACTGAACCAAGTATTCTTCAATCAAATCGGCCAATTCAGGATATCCATCTTCTCTAATCCCCGATATATGTCGATCGAGTGACTTCTTAAAGCCATCAAAAGACAATCCTTTATGAAGATTTCGATCGATCATAAGGTTCAGGAAATAGACAAAACTTTGGATATCTGAGCAGATAAAGATCTTGTCCGGATCTTCGTCAGATATTAGAGCCTTAATAGACTCAAGCAATGACGGAGCGAGCACTGCAATAAAAGACAAAAGAAAGTAAGTGTACGAAAGAAAGGTTGAATGAATATTCGAGATTTAGAATCCAACAACAGTGACGAGCGAAAATATACCGAGTCCAATAGAAGATCCTTCAGTTTTAGGCGAAACTACATCAGTTTGAGGTTCTGCGTCTGTTCCTACCCTTTCAACTTCAGTTTTAGGCGAAACTACATCAGTACTTGTGGCACCAAATGCTGGGGTACTTGTAGAACCAAAGGCTGGCGTACTTGAGGCACCAAAGGCTGGGGTGCATGAGGCACCAAAGGCTGGGGTTGATGCTACACCAAATGCAGGTGTACTTGATGAACCAAAAGCTGGTGTGCTGGCAGCACCAAATGCAGGTTGACTTGAAGCACCAAACGTGGTGGAACCAAAAGGACTGCTTCCGAATGCTGGTTGTGTTTGCTGGAATGAACTACCAAATGGGCTTGATTGACTAGGAGTTGACCCAAATCCTCCAAAGGCTGGTTTCTGCCCAAACACAGATGAACCTACGAAAATACAGAATAATCCAAACAACAAACACAGATGAACCTACGAAAATACAGAATAATCCAAACAAACATGTTTGAGAAAGATACGAGATAAAAAAAATTACATTCTTACATACAAGACTTGAGCATCCAAAACCACCTGATAGTGCTGAAGTAACAAATGAATGTAAGAAAACAAGGCAGCAATGTTAAAGCAAGAAGAAAAAGGACATACACAAACAGTGTTAAAAGCACTTGCCTGGCTGCGTCTGCCCAAAATTACTAAAGGTTTGAGCAGGTGCAGACGGTTGGAAAGGAGTTGATAGAGAAGGCTGCAAAATTAAAAGTAATCCAACATCAACTATAAGATTCATAAAGCACAGGACTGGAAAGCCTAGAAAGGAAAACTGTTACATGAAATGATAAGCATAGATAACAACATAAATAAATTATTTGCAAGCATAAATATACATTGCTAGTTTTCGAGAAGACAGAAAAGGCATTAAATTTACTTACAGTTGTCTGACCAAAACCCATAGGAGTGCTTGTAGAAAGTGCTGAAGATGAGCTGTTAAAAAGGCCTCCGCCAAATCCAGATGATGGCGTACTGAACAAACTTGAACCAAAAGCTGGTGTTGACCGCTGAAAACCGGTTGATTGTCCAAAGGGAGACGGTGTTTGCCCCAGAGATGGAGTTGTGGACTGAAATAGTCCTGAGGATTGAGTATTGCCGAAGTTCAGCCCAGAACTAAATGTTGAAGTCGACCCAGCTGTCGAACCAAAAAGTGACGGAGAACTAAAAGCAGAAGTCGTCGTTCCACCAAAAAGGGATGGTGAAGAACTAGAACCAAATGGAGTGCTACTAGGAGCTCCAAATAATGAAGTTGTTGAAGATGTTGATCCAAAAGGGCTGGATGATGAAGAACCAAATGTTGAGCCAAAAGGTGATGGGGATGAGGCACCAAAGCCAGATGAACCAAAAGATGGAGTTTTAGGCGCGAAGGGGTTCGATGACGTAGTAGAGGAAAATGGGTTTGCAGCAGGCTGACCAAATGTCGCTGTAGATCCAAATGGGTTTGCTTGTGCTTGAGCAGGAAAAGAAATAGCACTTGCTGGTTGTCCGCTAGGACTGGGACCACCTGAAATGTAAAGGCATAACATAAAGAACAAGTTTATAATATGTGAGAAGACAAACTCAACTTCTATAGTCTACCAATGAACAAGCAGTTTGCAAGTGTGACCCATTCACACTTACTCACGCATGGGAGCACAAAAGAACAAACATAATGTTGAAGGCACAGGTAGACTGCGTACTAATACTAATTCATCTAAGCACCTTAAGAATTGTCTGTGACCAGTTCAGAAACCACAGCCAGAACAATTAAACATAGGTCTTCTAGCTTACTCCGCAATAACGATACATCAAGAATAGTCTAATATGATTATATTTTTAAAGAGCTTTCTCCCATTGAACAGGTATTAAAATCAAAAACATAGTTTAACAACACGCACGCATTCGCACCTTTAAATGTGTGGATGAGAAGCATCCACGTCACTACCAAGCACCAATTTTGTGGTACCAAGTATACTCCTGCCCCAGTTTAAATAAGTGGTACCAAGCATACTCATTTTTAGCTTTAAATGATCTTTGTTTTAAAGACCTTTCTCATCCACACATTTAAACTTTCCCACTTGAAAATGGGCCCCACTTGTTTACTCACCCATTGAATGAGTGGATGAGAAATGGTCACCTCACTACCACACACCAAATTTGGTGCTTGGTACCAAGCATACCCAATTTTTCTCGCATACACACACATATATATATATGTATATGTTTATACATACATATATGTATATATACACATATACATACATACATGTACCTATATATATACGTGTGTGTAAAGAATATTTCAGGCAGTGATACAAGGGTTGTTCATTAACACTAGTAGCCGAAGAATAGAAGATTGCTATACCAATCTTAAAACTCGATTATGTTTACCTTTATCACCACGTTGATAATCTTCCCATCTCAACTCCTCATGACTTTTATCTTTGTATGCAGGCATGGCCGATATTGACTCCAGCTTCCCAGCAGGCTGTGTACCAGCATCAGCCTCTTGTGTTGCAGAATAAGGTACTACTCGACTTCCTTGTTGGCTGCCAAAACCTGATTGGCCAAAACCTTGACTACCAAAAGCAGGTGTGGGTGTCTGAGTACCTGCATTTATACATAACCATCAACCCTTGTCTAAATTATTCGAGCATGCTTATAAATTCTTCTTGCGCCATATATGAATAAACCATGTTTAACCTCAAGAGAAAAGGCATTTGACATAGGAAATTTAGAAAAGCAACGGAAAAATGTAAGGATCAACTAAAGCAGACGACAAGGATGAGAAATTGAATGAACCAAATGTAGAATACATAATGCAATAAAAAAATTTGGCCATATGCTGACATTATGTATCTAATAGGTAGAATTAGTGGGAATTTACCAAACGAGGAACTCTGAGTACCAAAAGGCGATGGTGTTGCTCCAAATGGCGTGCTCCCAAATGTAGAAGCTGACTGACCAAAAGACGGTTGGGAACCAAAACTGAGGGAAGGAGCACTTGATGCACCAAAAGCAGGGGTACTCGAAGACCCAAACGTGGGGGTACTAGTTGCACCAAATGCTGAAGTACTTGAAGATCCAAACAAGGAGGTGCCAGGAGCACCAAATCCTGATGATGTTGTAGAACCAAATGCTGGAGTACTTGAAACCCCGAAAGCAGATCCTGTGCTACCAAACAATGGAGTTGATGAGGACCGAAATGCTGGAGTACTTGTAGCACCAAATGCTGGGGTACTTGTAGAACCAAAGGCTGACGTACTTGAGGCACCAAAGGCTGGGGTTGATGCTACACCAAATGTAGGTGTACTTGATGAACCAAAAGCTGGTGTGCTGGCAGCACCGAATGCAGGTTGACTTGAAGCACCAAACGTGGTGGAACCAAAAGGACTGCTTCTGAATGCTGGTTGTGTTTGCTGGAATGAACTACCAAATGGGCTTGATTGACTAGGAGTTGACCCAAATCCTCCAAAGGCTGGTTTCTGCCCAAACACAGATGAACCTACGAAAATACAGAATAATCCAAACAAGCATGTTTGAGAAAGATACGAGATAACAAAAATTACATTCTTACATACGAGAATTGAGCATCCATGGTAATATGGTAATAGAAAGAAAAACAGTCAACCACTTATTCATCGTACACCACTGCACCTTCAATTTTAATTTCTTGTCCAAATATCTAATAAATATAATGAAGCATCTTGATGAGAAGTTCAGGGCAAGTCCAAAATCTGAGGTCGAACAAGACGTTTTTCTTATGAGACTTGAATTTACCAGGTGCTAGGAACCCTGAACGCTAGTATATACTGCACCAGCTACAAAACAATAGTACGAAAGCCTCATTTAGCTTGTGATTTACCAAACTTGTGTAATGTGATGATTCTTCAATACCTTACAGGTTTAATCCTTGATGAGAAATTTGCCTAGCCCCAGGTCGTAGAAAACATAACGTTTAGAAGAAGGGCTAAGGATTATCTTGGATGGTTGGGCAGGGAAATCTTAAGTTTGATTATTAGGTGAAAATACTGAAGGACATCTTCCCTTAGGCAGCATATTCAGGTTCACGTCAAGCAAAGGGGATAATCCACAGGAAACTGCATGCCCAAACAAAGGGATGTTGCCCAATAATAAGTATTAAGCAGGTTCAGGTATCCAGGAGGGTGCCTAGCACCTAGAGCCACTTAAGCAGCCACTAGGATCACCTATACTGCTTAACTGAAACATGCCTTAGGTTTTTGCCACGTAAGCAACCTCCTAAGCATATCCACATAGACTGAATTTCCAAAAGTGTCAATGGTGAACAAGGATGTAGTTAAATCAAATGAAGCCTATAGAAAAGCCTCGCTTATGTATTAAATAAGTATGATACCATACGCTTGTCAAACTACAGCTACTCAAACTCTACCATGCATTTGCACACTAGCATTATAGTATAATACTTACTACCAAAGGAAGAGGATGAACTGCCAAATGCAGGTGTTGACGGAGCACCAAAGGATGGCATTGAACTTCCTAAAGCGGGTGATGAGGAAGCACCAAAAGCTGGTGTGCTAGAAGGCGCCCCAAATACTCCAGTTGATGTGCCAAACATTGAGCTCCCTGTCGGCGAACCCAATGGATTTGAAGAGCCGAATGGTTTCGGAGCAAACGGACTAGTAGTTGAACTACTTGTTTGCCCAAACACCGACGGGGAGCCGAAAGGGCTACTCGAGGACTGCCCGAGTGCTACACAAGGGGAACAGACAGGATGCATCAGACAAGAGATACAAACCATACAAGTCGTGAACAAAAACTATGTCAAAAGAAACGGCATCAACCAAAAATTCCAGAACACTAAAGCTTCTTCAAAGCCGGCAGAGCGCAAACGCAATATTAGGCTCTGAAAAACACGCTAATTGAAGAAAAATGTAAACTTGGGACCTAACAAACGAGGTGAAATCTCGACATCACAATAACATTTATGGATTCGTCTTCTTCGATCGGTCGACTGCTGCTATCAAGAATACTGCAAAAGAGGTGTGTGTGTGTGAGAGAGAGAGAGAGTTGAATCTAAACCCTAGAGTAACAACAACGACGATGGGGCTATCAAGAATACTAGGATGGCAGTAGTAACAACAACGACGACAACAATAATAATAATAAATATATAAAAATTAAAACCGGTACCTCGTCGAGCACCGCGCTTTTGATCTGAAACAAGAAGAAGACTAGGGCACGCGACAAGTGATTTAAGTTTTACTAATCTTTACAATTCTAATTTGAGGTTAATAAAGAGACGGTGGGGCTTTAGATTGAATTTTATTAGAACGGGATCAGAAACTGGGGGAGGCGTGACTGAGGAAAGGATCAATCACCAATAGAGCGAGAGCTGACAGAGCATCTCTAATAATGATCAAATTTTCAAAACCAACCCTTTTGGGTTTTTAATTGCAAAAAACGACCGATTTTGAAAATATTTACAAAAACCGACCTGTTTTCAGCCAGGGGCTGAAAACAGGTCGGTTTTTGAAAAAAAATTTCCCAAACTTTACGGGAGTTCAACTCCCGTGAAGTTTTTCTCATAACAAAACTTCACGGGAGTTGAACTCCCGTGAAGTTTGGGAAAAAAATTTTCAAAAACCGACCCAGTTTCAACCAACTGGGTCGGTTTTTATAAATAATGGTGAAATGGGTCGTTTTTTGCAATTAAAAGCCCAAAAGGGTTGGTTTTGAAAATTTGTCCTTTTGCTATATTTGAGGAGTAAATATCTCATCTTAGGAAATAGGGAGTCAATATATAAGGCTTATATAAGGCCCAAGTGCTCCAACAATACTCCTCAAAAGGCTCTCTAAATAGTTTTGGACATTTTTCATTTACCTCCTTTTGTAATAAATAATTGTAACGGTTATATTATAACGGCTATATTCCGACGACTAAATTGTAACGGCTATATTTCAACGGCTATATCATAACGGCTATATGACCTCTATAAATAATATCATATGCACTCTCATTTTTCACTCAACTCAAATTGTGTTCATTGTTAGCATCATTTTTCCAATATTATCTATGTCTCATAACAACGAAATAGTTGCGCTCCTCATGGAAGAAGAAGCTGACGAGGAATGTGCAATGTTCTTAGGAATGACCGTCGTTGAAGAGGAGCGGGTGGCTAACGAGAGGAGTGCATCGCGTCGTCTTGGTTCCGTTCGAGGCCATGTTGTCATTCAACGCGATAGAGTTCAAGATCATATTAGACTTTATCGTGACTATTTCGCTGAGGATCCCGTTTATGGTCCACGACTATTTCGAAGGCGGTTTTGAATGCATCGTCCACTTTTCCTCCGAATTGCATCAGCGGTAGAAGATTTTGATCCTTACTTTGTCCAAAGAAGGAATGTTGCAGGTAATCTTGGTTTATCATCCCTTCAAAAAATAACAGCCGCAATGCGGATGCTTGCTTATGGAGTATCTGCAGATTTTGTGGATGATTACGTGCGGATTGGTGAAAGCATGACTATTGAAAGTAGGGCTGAGCATGGTTTGGTCCAAACCGAAAAAACCGACCGAACCGACCCGAACCGACCCGAAAAAATCGGTTTTATGAGTAGGGCGGTTCGGATCGGTTTGAAAACTTTTCAACCCGAACCGACCCGAACCGACCGAATATAGTGCAATACTACCCATTCTGATCTCAAACCCTACCCGACCCTGTCCCCAAAGTTAAAGACTCAAACCCTAAACTCATTTTCTGAATCATTATGGGTTAAAAACAATATTATTTTATCAGTGTTTAATGCTTCATAATCTCCTACTTTGTTGATATCTTTTTTTTTTCTTTAACACAGTTTGTTGTTTGATAAGAAGTTTGATGAAGTTAGAACCGAACAAACCGAACCGAACCGCAGCGAACCGACTTGGAACAGTTCGGTTCGGTTTTGAATTATAGGCGGTTCGGTTCGGTTGTTCAAATTTTGGTAAAAACCGAACCGAACCGACCGTTGCACACCCTTAATTGAAAGTGTTAAAAGGTTTGTCAAGGTCGTTGTTACAATTTTTTGCCGATGAGTATTTGAGGTCACCAAATAATGACGATATCAGAAGATTGCTAGAGATTGGTGAACAACGCGGATTTCCTGGAATGTTAGGGAGCATAGACTGTATGCATTGGAGATGGAAGAATTGTCCGGCTGCGTGGCATGGGATGTATGCTGGTCACGTCCATGAGCCAACAATTATTTTGGAAGCCGTTGCGTCATACGATCTTTGGATATGGCATGCATTTTTTGGGTTACCAGGATCTCATAATGATATTAACGTCTTGGAAAGGTCAAATCTCTTTACTGAACTTACTGAAGGTCGTGCCCCTCCAGTTAAATACTCTATTAATTCTCATGAGTATACGATGGGATATTACCTTGCTGATGGTATATACCCACAATGGTCAACATTTGTAAAAACAATTTCTGCTCCACAAGGAAATAAGAAGAAAAATTTTGCACAAGCTCAAGATTCAGCAAGAAAGGATGCAGAGCGAGCATTTAGGGTCCTCCAAGCACGCTTTGCAATTGTGCATGGACCAGCGCGATTTTGGGATCAAGAAGTACTAAAAGATATTATGAAAGCATGTATCATAATGCATAATATGATCATTGAAGACGAGCGAGATATTAATCAATGTGATTTCAACTATGATGCAATCGATGAAAGTCCAACTATATCATTGTCTCGTGAGCGCATGTAGGCATATAAAATTGCTTATAGGTCCCCTAGCATAGCTCGGCACAAACCGACGAGCCAACGAGACAACGGAAAACGACTCGAAAAAGTCGGAAAACACCGCCCGCGGGGGCTCGGCCAAAGCCGAGCCACCTCAAGGTGGCTCGGCCAAGGCCGAGCCACCCTGAGGTGGCTCGGTGACCCCGAGGTGGCCGACAGTGGCCCGAGGTGGCCGACAGTGGCCAGAGGTGGCCGACAATTCTCTTTTTGCAGCCACTGTCCTGAGAGCCTATAAATAGGCCTAGAGATGTTCATTTTCAGAGGTCGAACTTTCAAGAACCGAAACTCTGCCGGATTGAAGAGTGAACTCGGAGCTTGAAGACCAGAAGACTTGCATATTCAGATCTGATCCTCGGCGACCATCCACGTCAGAAAAGGCAGGATCTCGAGAGGAAGAAAGAACAGATCTGAGATCTACACGAGACTACACTCCAGATCTAAGCTTGGTCTTAGATCTCGAGATCTGAGCGATTATTCCCTTGGTGGATTAATCCCTCCCGGCTATTATTCCCTTCGTGGAATAATACCCGCATAATCGTGTAGATCCGACCGGATCTAGATCGCGCGGTGGTCCACGGATTAACCCCGGCGCAGGCAAAGAACCCACCAAAGCGAGCGACCGCAAAACAGGAGCTCGTGATTTGTTCACAGAAGGAAAGTTGTAATTTTTTCTTTATTTTCTTTGATTTAATTGTAACCGGATCTATAAAAGACCGGATCTTTTGTAACTCAAAAAGTTGTAACTCAAGATGACAATTATCTCATTAATGAAGAAAGCAACGGTTTTCCACGCGAACAGGAATCAAGAACAGAAGCCATTCCAAAGTCCCGTTATACCGACTGAAGGTTGGGACAATCATATCCAAAGTATTCCAGACTCTTCTATAAAAGAACGAGGCTGAAATACTTTGGAGGGGGTATCTGTAGGCATATAAAATTGCTTATAGGTCCCCTAACATAGCTCGGCACAAACCGACGAACCAACGAGGCGACGAGGTTGACGAATCGCACGCAAGCAACAGAATACATCCA